GTAGTATCCTTGTTCACAAATATACCTACAACGTTAGCAATTAAAATCATACTAAATAAATGGGACCAAGTACAAAAGAGGACGAATATACCTAAAAATAAGTTTCACCACATTTTAGACTTTTGTCTTAAAGACAACAACTATTTTATGTACAATAACAAATTGTATACTCAAAGTTTTGGAATGCCGATGGACAATCCTCTTTCGCCAACAATTGCTGACATTATCATGGACAACCTACTTGACAATACTATCGCGGAGCTTAAAAACAAATACAACATTGACATAAAATTTATAGCGAAATATGTGGACGACATCTTTGCAATAATAAAACTAAACGACGTGAACAAGATTCTAGACACACTAAACAAATACCACAACAAACTCCAGTTTACCACAGAAATGGGAGAAAACGCACGCATCCCCTTCTTAGACGTCTGTATTCACAGAGAGAAAAATATCCTATTTTTGGACTGGTACTCCAAACCTACATCTTCTGGCCGCCTAATTAACTACTCCTCATCACAACCCACCAAATACAAAATAAACACCGCCAAAAACCTAATACATAATGTACTCACTTTAAGCCACCAACGATTTCATGGCGCAAACATAGACAAAATAAGAAAAATACTAAATACAACCCTTACCCCGACTACCTAATACGCGAACTCATACAACGGAAAGTAATGGAAATAACCAGCCCTCAAAATAGAGCAACATCTACAAAAACAACAGACACGAAAAAACAATACCACAGCATAACATACATCCCCAAACTATCCGAAAACCTCGATCGCGACTTGGCTAGAAAACAAAATATCACTCTCGCCAACAAGTCCAATAACACTTTATCCACGATTTACACAAAAACAAAAAGCCCTATAGACACCAAACAACAGAATAACGTAGTTTACGAAATAACATGTAAAGGCAAAGAAAACGAAGCCTGTAACAAAATATATATAGGAACAACAAAACGCGCTCTCAGCGTTCGACTAGCAGAACACCAGTAGTGCGATTCTGTAACTCTTAGCAATAAAAAAGGTGTTAGGTTACTTAACATCTTTTGCCGTTTGCACTAACAATTATATGATTCTCTAACTCTTGCTTAACAGCGAAAAACAGCTGATTACTTCTTTTTATTTAAAATGATAAAATGTGGCATCTCAGTCGAGAGAAATGTCAAATATGCGAAAAGCACAAAGAGGAATAAGAAAAAAAACTTATTTCCTTCCCGCGGAAACAGAATTTTTGCGCGTCAGCTACGTATTGCAATTTCAAAAGGTAATATTTAATAATTTTAGTTTTTAATCGGAATTTACTGGAACTTCTTTAATTTCAGGA